TAACCTTCTCTCTAACATATCGAGGTAGAGCGATTGACGCCAGATTGCACACAGCAGTTTCAATAGGACTTGAGTACTCAATTATCTCAGTGCATAAGTTAGAGGATTTAATGGTGCCCAGATTCTGCTGGTTGCTTTTTCTATTACAAGTGTCCTGCGATTGAAAAGTAAAAATGAAGTTAAGGAACACAAACATGATAAATGCTAGTAGAATAAGTAAACTAAGATAATAAATAGGGAAAGCATGTTTATCTAGGTCACCTTATATAACATATAAGGAGTTCCAGTTTCAATCTGAGATTTTAATATTTCAAACCATAAATTTTGTGCCTGGACAACCTTCTTGGCTTTTCCCTGAGCCCACAGAAGAAAAAAATCAAAACACATGATAGTGAAAAAATCACTTAAGGTGACCTAAACCATGGTTTTGGTTGTACCTGATTCTCATATTTTGTATATAAAATCTCAAACTCTTCACCCCAACAATCAGCCAACCCCAGAGCCTCATTTGGACAAAACAATGACCATTGTCCGTTTGATTGGACTCTTTGCATAAATAAATCAGGCACCCAAAGTGCAAAAAACAGATCTCTGGCACGGTGTTCTTCCTGAAAAATGACATAAAGAAGTGAGAATTAATGTTATGAAAGAAGTCCAACTGCAACAAACTAAATTTAACTCCAAATATATTTTGGGGTGTTACGAAGGAAATAAGTAGTCGTAAATACAAAATGATCTAAACACGAAGAAAATGCACAGCTCACATCTTAGTTTACCTGTGGAGGAATGAAGATCCAATCAATGGCAAGAACAAAAGCATTACATCAGTTGCTGCAAGTATATAGATCCTACTATACCTTTCCATGGTTTTTCCTCAGATCAAGGAACTCAAAGATGTCAGCATGCCATGGCTCTAAATACACAGCAAAAGCACCTAATCTCATCATAGAAAGGAAAGTGAAATCAAAATAGGTATATACAAAGCATTTACTATAATAAAACAAAACAATGAATAATAGCAAACCTTTCCTCTTGCCACCCCCCTGATCCACATATCGAGCTGTATCATTGAACACTCTCAGCATTGGAACAATACCATTGGATGTCCCATTCGTTCCCCGAATATAACTTCCAGTTGCACGGATGTTATGCACAGAAACACCAATTCCTCCAGCTGATTTGCTGATGACAGCACACTCCTTCAGTGTATCATATATGCCCTCAATGCTATCTTCTTTCATGCATATCAAGAAGCAGCTGCTCAACTGTAAGCAATGAAACAGACGAGAGTGAACTATCACGGTAACAGAAGAATTGGAACTTCTTCCCAATAATAATATTAATAATAATAAAGAATAAGTGTAATTGCTTGGACAATAAACATACTTGAGGCCTCGGTGTTCCAGCATTAAAAAGTGTAGGAGATGCATGAGTAAACCATCGCTGAGACAAGAGATGATAAGTTTTAATAGCTGAATTAATGTCATCCTTGTGGATTCCTACAGAAACCCTCATCAACATGTGTTGAGGCCTCTCCACAACCTTCCCTTGGATCTTTAAAAGATAAGACCTTTCAAGGGTTTTAAAACCAAAGTAATCATATTCAAAGTCTCTGTCATATGTGATCTCACTGTCAAGTCGGGCAGAATTCTGAAAAAGAGGAAATTAGAATAGCATTAACAATTCTCAGAACATGCAAAATCAACAGCATCAACCCAGAATCTGCAATCATTATGCAAGAAACAGAAAAAACATCAAACTTGAAAGCATGGAGAGCTGGAAGTGAAAATACCTTCATAATGATCTCATAAACATCGTCAGCAATTAAAGGAGCCTGAAGTCCTGACCTCTCACTGACATGGTTATACATTTCTTTGATCCTACATAAATTATGCAAGTCAGAACTGCGTCAGAGTCTTCTCAGACTAGGTAATGTAACTCACAATCATGAATTATAATACCGAGAAATGTGTGCATGTGTGAACATAATTGTGTCAGAGCAAAAGCACTTACGTCTCAGAAAATAATTTCTTGGTGTTCTTATGAAGATTTGAAACAGCTATCCTTGCAGCCAACTGAACACAAATCAATAATATTAAACAAATGCCATTATTTATCAGAGCATTGATTATACATAAATACGTTAGCAATAAAACCTTGAAATGACATTAGTGATAAAAATAGCATCACAACGGAATATAAACAAAATTCAAATATTACTGCAAAATTGGAACATAATTTTTTGCATACCCCACCAAAGTTCACTAAAATGTGTAACTTATTGAAGATAACAAAAAATTATAATAAAATTCATCAAATTCTGAGGGAAATTATGATGCAGAGATAGGCCAAATAAAAAATTAGTACTAATGTAACAAGCCCATAAACCAAAACAAAGCTTAATCAATTTGCCGCTATACATGACATCCATAATTAAAAATAATAATAATAATAATAATAATAATAATAATAATAATAATAATAATAATAATAATAATAATAATAATAATAATAATAATAATAATTTTAAATAACACACAATTCGAAAAAAACCAAGAAAGTTAAAACAGAGCCATAATCAAAATCGTTATATAACAGAAATAAGCAAGTACATAGAATTTCGGAAAGGGGGAACATACGGAAGCATAGTCGGGATGATTAGCCGTCATAGCTGCAGCAGTCTCGGCAGCCAATTCATCGAGTTGGCCGGTAGTGACCCCCTTGTAGACCCCGGCACAGACTTTCTGCGCCACCAACACCGGATCGCAGTGTTCACTACTCAGCCCGTAGCTCAGTTTCTTCAACCTCGCCGTTATCTTGTCAAAGTGTACTGTCTCCTGCTTCCTGTCCCTCGTCACCACATACATTTTCCTCTCCTAAATTTGGGGTTTTCTCCGTAGGAAATTTTAACTAACAGTCTGGGGGTGCTAACACGAATCAAGAATATATATATAGAGACACAAAAATGGGTTTTAAAAAAATGATTTAAATATTAGGGTTTCTTGGGTTTCCCACTAATTTGGGATTTTTGAAGTTCTCCCGCCAAATTGAAGGGGGGTAGCAGCCTAGCAGGGGAAGGAGGAGCTGGAGGTAGGTTGGATCAACCTGATTGATGATTGATCTCTACTTTTTGTGCTGCAATTTAATGGAACCAAAAGCAAATCAATTATTTCTACATCAATTGTGTTGAGCTAAAATAACTGTAAAGAAAATGCGGTTCTTGTGAATTCGAATTAGGTTTGGCGCCAAATTTTGGGTTTGGCCATAGGAGTAGAAGATGGATGGACCATTTCTTGAATGGACTGGCTTCCATGACAAGCTTTTGGACTTTTGGATTTGAATTTCAATTTCAAAATTCGTAGCTTTTCATGGAAGAAAATATGGAGTAAATTGATGAGTGACGTTTCTTTTAATAAGCCCCCTTTTTATCCCCATTTTTTGATAATAAAAATGAGAAAAATAGTTTTTTTTTTTTTTAAATGAATGGTTGAAAAAGAAAGAAAAGCTTTCGATTTACGTGTAATATTATTTTATGAAAAATTGTGTGGTTGAAAATAGGAAAGAGAAAAATAGAATGTAATAGAATGTAACAAAAGGGGGCTAATTATTGTTTAGAAATAGTTCCTATTGTTTCAAAACTAGCATTTACACCCTCATTTCAAATCTTTCTTTCAGAGTTGGTCGTTTCCTCATGTTCCATTAATTCCTTCCATTAAATTCACGCATATTATTTGAAAGGGATAAATTAATCAAGTATTATATTGGGAAAATGATCCTTGTATGTAAAATTTGGGAGCGATTTTGAAAATTAATTTTTTGACCGTTAGGAGAAACGTGGGGACCCCGTGTGATAGAAGAAGTCAAACTTTATGACTGAAATAGTGAAATAACGGTCAAAAAATCAATTTTTTTAGGTAAAAAATCACTCTCAAACGCCCTTACAAAAGTTTTACCGTTGATGTGGCCATTAATAAAAAGGAAGAAGCCACCCCCTTGAATCCATTCCGCTATAAGCTACCCACTCTCATTTCGACACTAGCAACTTCGACATCAACGTTAATAAACTTTTTTTTCAATTTTTTGAAACACGTTGTGATTTTTTCTAAATCAATTTTTTGTCTACTCCCATTTTTTTATCATCCCACCATCTTTTTCTACACCTACTCCTCCACCACCGCTCATACATGTAGATGTATTGTTATATAGATATTGCGCCCATTTGGTGCCAATTCTTGCCAAATTTTTCTACCGGAACTCATTTTTCTACAGGAACTTTGCAGAAGACAGCATTAACACTGATGAAACCGTCAGAAATGTCTACAGACAACATCAGGCCCTTGAGATTGTCTGACCAATTTGCCCCTAGTGAAATAATAAAATTCCAATTGAATGGCAGGATACATGTAGATGTATTGTTATATAGATATTGCGCCCATTTGGTGCCAATTCTTGCCAAATTTTTCTACCGGAACTCATTTTTCTACAGGAACTTTGCAGAAGACAGCATTAACACTGATGAAACCGTCAGAAATGTCTGCAGACAACATCAGGCCCTTGAGATTGTCTGACCAATTTGCCCCTAGTGAAATAATAAAATTCCAATTGAATGGCAGAAAATGAAAAGAATGAAATTTCAACTAAAGGGCAATAACGGAAAGAAAAAAAAATCTAAAAATCAAACAACTGTCAAAAATGCA